GGTTTACATTCATGAACGTCATTAATCTTAACACTACAAGAGTGGGTATTACTGTCAGCTCTATTTCACACGTGAGGACACAGAGCAGCAAGCTGCTGCAGATCACAGAGGGAAGGAGAGGCAGTGTCAGTATTCAAACCTAGGACCAACTCCGAAGCACCTTCCCTTATCCACCGCGCTCAGTCTGCCAGGGCCTTGCCTGATACACGGGCATTTTTTGGTGATTGTGGAGTGGGGGAGGCCGCGATGAATCACTCTGCCCAGCCAGTCGTTCTCCCTGTGTTTCGCAAGAGATCATGTTTAAGGTAAACTGGTTATCACGTGCCTAGACACCAGTGATTTACAATTACTTCTTTATTAAGAAAACGTTCACTGTGTGAGTGGTCTCTCTCTGAAAAAATGCCAACAAAGAGGCCTTGTCAGTTTTTTGGCAGAGGCACATCTAAACACATAAAAACAAGTTTAAACACTATCATTTATGCATAATTCTTTCTTGGCATCATCTCCCACTTGCCACAATTTGCAGCCAGAAAACACTTATTTCTACTTTTCTTACTCTAGAAATAATCCAGCCTTAAGTGGATCTAATTCCTCCCCAGAAAAGAAACAGCCCTGTCAGGACTTGGTTGTGTGTGCCGTTTGAGACTTCAAGGTTCCCATTTACCGCACAGCTGCACGGATTCTGAAAGCTGGTGCTAAGCCAGAGCTCTGTACCCACTGAGATCTGTAGTCTGGAATGATAAACACACAGCTGCCTGTGGTGAGGGCCACAGGCATAATAGATGGCCACGTCTCAACCAGAGCCAGGCAGCACCAACACAAATCATTAATCCGACTGCTTATACGTTAAATATCACAAAATGTGTACAAAATGGGGAGCTGTCTCCATTGCAGGCAGTGACAGGTGGGGGGAGAGGTGGAAGCAATTTAAGGGAACAGGAGAGAAAAAGTGGCTCTAAGTCTTCTGTAAAATCCCACTACAGAGCTGATTTACTGCCACGCAGCCCTCTTCCGGCAAATAGTTCATAAAGCCTATGACCTGAGTACTTGCCCACGGGACCACAATAACATTTATCTAGCATAAATTAATGTGTTTCAACCACTAATTCAATTTGGCCGTCTCATTCTTTGGGTTTTGGCAAAGCCTAGCCTTGCTATAAAGTCACTTGGTGACTCACACGAATGGCTGTGTTTGCTAAGGACTCACACACCACTAGGAACAAAGCGTGCTATTAGTCGAGCAGTCATAAAAATATACCTCCAGAGCACATTTGGAGCTGTGCTAATTGAAACTTCCTCTTTAGAGGAGCCTGATCAAAACCAGCTGTAGGAGTCAAGCAGCAGCAGATTTCAACATTGCATTCAAAGCCCAGCGGATTCAGAAGGAGCTGCGGGACTCAAAGAAGAGGGCACGACGGCCTGAACACGCGCTCTAATTGGCTCCTGACACGACACGCTGCAGAGCGAGCTTGTGACCGGAACCTGGCGAGCGCTGGAAAGAAACTTCTCCGCGAGCGAAACTTGGAAAGAGAGCCCCGTCGTGCAGTTCTCATAAAATCCCAGATCTGCCAACCTTCTCAAGGAACATGTGGGAAAACCCACAAAAGGCTAGTAAATTTAAGAAAGTGAAGTGGGATATTGTTCCGAAATGGGAAAAACAAGAGCTTAAGTATCTTCATTGGCAATGCAGCCTTTTAAGAACATCCCATTAGTATTAAAAACAAAAACAAAAAAAAGCCCAAACCATCCAACGCACAGAGGAGCAAACGGACAAAATCCAAATAAAAAACAAAAACCTGGATGAAACACAAAAACACAGACCCTACTGAAAGATGAGAATGAGAGCTCTGTCATCCTCTCTGGCTGTACGTGAGTTTCTCATTCCAAGAAATAAGGAGTGCATTCTACCGATGGGTGTAGAAGCAAAATCCCTCCGCAGGTTTGCGGCAGATGTGGAAAAATCACGCACTTTCTGTTAGCTTTACTTGACGGCAGGTGAGCCACTTGTAAAGGAAGCAGTTGCTGATACATAAATATAAATAGCATATTCCACCCATCAACTATGTGAATTTTATTTAATTTAGATGAGTGGAGTGCCCGGAAATATTAAAAGCAAGTTTTGTTTTATAACACCTTTAAGTAGCATATAAATTAGAAAGGACTGCTGGTCTCTTTAATTTATTTACTCATCAATTTAATGGAGTGTCTAGTCTGGGAGCTATGTCACAGTGATTTGCAAAGATAAAGGGTGGGGAGGTTTATTTATGTAGATGTGGGAAGGATCGTTATGTTTTATGCCACAGAAGGATGAGAGTTAACTCTATGTAATATATGAAATATAATGATTTTTCTAGGCAACATAATTACAGCCCCACCAGTAACAACCATGAAAGTTGAAAATTTGCTT